AAGAGAAGAGAAGAGAAGAGAAGAGAAGAGAAGAGAAGAGAAGAGAAGAGAAGAGAAGAGAAGAGAAGAGAAGAGAAGAGAAGAGAAGAGAAAAAAACAAAAACCCAGTAACTAAAAGAATGTTTGACTGCCTTAACAATTTAAACCTGGTTTACATGGCTCATGGCAGCATTAAAAATTCTAACATAGGGAGGCTGGGAAGGGATGTGAAGGGTAAACAAAAGGAGGAGGCTGCAATGCTTGGTAAGAAATGTACGCATTATCCTGCCCCATGTAATTGTAACCCCTCTGTACAGTATCTTCACAAATAAAATTTAAAAAAAGTATTGTTTATAAAAAAAATTCTAACATATAACAACCATACCTGATACACAAGTGTCACATGTCATTAAATCTGTGTTTACATGGCCGGACTGATTTTTTTTTTTCAGGTCGTGAGGTCTGAACTCTGGGCCTTGGCACTGTCCCTCAACTCTTTAGCTCAAGGCTAGCACTCTACCACTTGAGCCACAGCACCACTTCCAGCTTTTTCTGCTTATGTGGTGCTGAGGAATCGAACTCAGGGCCTCAAGCATGCAAGACAAGCACTCTACTACAGAGCCGCTTTCCCAGCCCCACAAATGGTTTCTGAAGCAACACACTTTGTCTAATCTAATTAAGTCAGATATATCATTTTCTCTTCAGACCTCTCCTAAATGTAGAAGAGCACACCAACATTTCCTTTCAGTATTCTCATCACAGTATTATTGTAATACATTTGGTATGGGCTAGGTGATAAAGATGTATTTTTTAAGAAATGGCACATAAGAAGACTGATTTTCTTTTATTTTCTTAGTTATCACCAGAAAACCAGAAATGGTGCTATAGCTCAGTTGTAGAGTGCTAGCTTTGAGCCAAAAAGCTCAAGGACAGTGCCCAGGCCCTGAGTTTAAGCTCCATTAAGGACAAAAAAAAAAGAAAAAAAAACAACAACAACTAAACCTGAAGGCATAATGCCCAAAGGAAAACAAATCTACTAAGAAAGAACTGTAGATTCTCTTTATTTACTCCAATACTCTAAAGGATCAAGTGCTATCCACTTATTTTCTGACCAAGTGAGCTCTACAACAGATACTTGCATTGCTTCCCATTAACTTCTTCAAACAAAAATCACTATATGGTACTTCATTCAATTACCAGCCCCTTTCTGCTTATAAAATGGAACTATTAATGTGGATTTATGGTATAGATATTATAGGTAATTTAGCTCCTGCACTTGCTCAATTTTGTCTTCAAAGACACACAACTCATTTTAATGCTGTAATGACAAAATGGTTAATTGTTGTCAATACAAGCATCGATGTAAAGCTCATAACAAAACAAAGTACTATAAATGATTAGAATCTCTTAAAAGTTAAACATGTCAAAGGTTGACTGACTTTAAGTAGCATAACTCAAATGAAAAGCATGAATCTTGCTTATTTTTTGTTATTCCAATTTTTAAATTGACAGTAAAGCAAGCCAAGTTTCAGTCTGCAATCTTAGAAAGTAGGAATGTCAGGAAGAGGGAGATAAGGGAAGAGGCAACTGAAGTACAGGAAGTTTAGACAGAAAAAGACAAGGCAAGCCAAAAGTCTTCTTTTATTTTCTAGTGTTTCATTCAGTGGTCAGAGCATATGAATATTTTACTCTGATTGCAACACAGGTAATTTGTAATTGGGAACAATAGAAAAATATTTTGATGAATTATTTATCTCAAACTCAGAACTACAAACTGTTATTTAAAAAAATAAAATCAAGACATCAGCTTGCTACAGACAGTCAACATTTGGAGACAACAGATTATACCAAAAAGAGATGAAAGGGACAGGCACTAAACAGAAGTCTTGCAACAGATTCCCTTTACATCACCACCAGAATGGCCATGTTTCTTCATGCTCTGATAGTCAAAAAGTCAAAAGACCCAAAATGTTTCAATACTCATGAGAAGCAGCAGGAGATAAAACTACTGATTTCATCTTCAAAGTTTTTATATCAAATGATATAAATTCAAATGATACTGTTATGTCCAGTTTCCCTAGTTAATTATATGATTAATACATAGCTTTATATATTTTGATTGATTTTTAAAAATTTTATTAACGTGACAATCAGAGAAGTGTTGCTAGAAAAACACTACCACTTCTGGTAACAGAACCTCAACATTTTTGGACTTCAATATAAGGTGTTTCTTCTTTTTTTGGTATTTCAAAATTTTTTACAGAGCTAACCTTTTCTGATAAAAAAAATACATTTCAGAATCATTAGTAGGAAACGATAGAACTGTGAGTGATTTCATTTTTTTTCCTACAATGACCAGTTAAACAGGCAAGAATATGAGTTTAGGATAGAATGTTGACAAAAATACCAAAGCAAAGAAAAGGTTTTAGGGCGCCAGTGGCTCATACCTGTAATCTTAGCTACTCAGGAGGCTGAGATCTGAGGATTGTGGTTCAAAGCCAGCCCCAGCAGGAAAGACCATGAGACTCTTATCTTCAATTAACCACCAAAAAACCAGAAGTGGAGCTGTGGCTCAAATGGTAAAATACTAGCCTTGAGCACAAAAGCTCAGGAACAGCACTCAAGTCTGAGTTCAAGGCCCAGAATCCTTACCCTCCCCCCACCCCACCCCCCAAAAAAACCACTCTTACTCAGTAACCTGGCATCAGGGCATGAAGGTACATACAACATTCTGAACAAAAAGATCACTGTAGTCTAATATGCCTAAACCTGCTTATTTGATTAGAGGTTAGATCAGTGAACAGAATCACACCATACAAGAAATGTTGGTCAGTTTCTCTCAGTGCCTTAAATGCAAACTAACCACCTGCCTCTGTTAACAAAAACACTAGCCTAGAGATGGGATGAACAAAAAGCCAAAGTTGACTGTGTTAAATAGGAATTATATTTTTCAATGGCAAAACAAATGAGCTGGGATTTCATGACAGCTTCCCAGACAATATGATGCTGAGCTACTAAGTTCATGCTAACAGAACTTGTAAGTTAGCCTCAAGAATATCCTAGTGGCCCCTTCACATTCAATTCCTTGAAGTTTTCTGGAAAGAAGACATTATTCCCCAAGCCACTGATCATGGAAAACATTAGGATCCAACGCTGTGGACAGGTAGATGTAGCAATACGAGAGACCACAGAGCTTGGTTCTGATCATTTATGCTAATAGTTATGCCAAATTATGTAAAAATTATGCTAATATGCTCTGGAAGCCGCACACTTAGTTGGGTAGGGTAGGAAAACAAAGTCTGCAATATTATCAGAATCCCAGTTGTGATTTCTGGAATCTACACCTTGACTCTAAAAGGTCACATGCCAGTGAACTCCCAAGAAGAGACACATTGGCACCAATATGAGGAAAGACAACTTTTCTGTCAATTTCAAAGTTTGTCTTAAGCAAAAAGAGTCTTTAGTTTTCTATGTGGAGTCTAATTAATTTTTTAAAAATACTATTTATTATTCCCAACAGAAAATACATTTCTGGTTTGAAATCACAAGCACCAAAAGAAGCTGAGACTATGTGATAATCAGAATGACTAGATTATCTAAAGTGTTCATGCAGTGACCCCAGACAGGAATGGGAAAATGGACTGCATACCAGACTTTGAGTCAGAGAAACTGGGCAAAACGTGAGATTTTTTCTCACTTATAAAACAGGGCAATATCTACCTTATAGGGCTGTTGTGAGGATATGTTTGTTGTTGTTTTTAATAAATCACACATGAGAAATTCTTGTCACACACACGCAGGTTATAAGATATATTAACAAAACTAGATCTTCAATAATATAGTACTTGACCTATGAGATGCTACCCATTTTAATGCTTCTTTCTTATACACTGGACAGTACTACTTAATCAGACAATATGCTGACTATATCTATTCACTCTATAGATTTAGATGTAGTATTCTTTTGGTAATTTAATTAGGTTATCATTCTAGGTGCTATGGATAAAGGACAAGGACAGGAAAACTTTCCTATCATCAATGGATCATACATTAAAAAATAAAACAGATCATTATTAACACTACAGAAGACACTGCATGCTGAATCTAATATTATACTTTAATGAGTGTTTGAGTTAGCTATGTTTAGGTATAGGTCTCTAAACCTACAATACACATTTACTCTGATTGTTAAGGCAGCCTGAGTAAATGATTTTGCACTTCAATCTTTAGTAAGTGACTAACTACCAATATTTACTAAGCAACTATTTTAAAACAATGTTATACAACTCACATTATATAAATTCTCTCAACCTTTGAACAATTTTGTAAAGTTTTTATTATCCATATTTTAAAATAAACAAACTTGCCCAAACTCACAAGGCAATACTAACTAATGGAGTTAAGAACTGTACACTAGACTACCACATACAAGGTCTGTGCTTTTATCTCCTATGCCTTCTTTAGAAGAAAACATACTATACAGGGAAAATTGTAATTCTAGAAGGCTTTCAGGCAAATGATTAGAACATTGATGGTAACATAGATACCACAGATACCACAGATAATCATTGTGTAGTATGGACATGTAAAAAATGTGATCTGGAACAAGTGGTTACTATGATTCCAATTTACTTCTGCACAGACAATGCCAAGACAAACTTGATGATTCTTTGGTTTCTAGCTGCTCTCTACCATGCTTTTCCATTTCATTTTTTTCCTTTTTTAGGCAGGAAGGAAACAGTGGTACCAAAGTTTGAACTAAAAGACCCTCCCTATGCTTGCTTGGCAAGCACTATACTACTTGAGCTACAACCAGACCCTTTTTACTCTCATTTTATTTCACACAGGGTTTCACATACAAGCATGGGTTATAATTGTTCTACTTTTGGTTTCTACATAACTGGGGTTAGTGGCATACACTACTATACCTAGCTTTTTTGAAAGATAGAGATCTTAAGAGATTATTGCCTGGGACTAGCCTCTCACAGAAATCCTCCAAATAAGCAACCCATAACCGCAAGTAGCTGGGATTACAGGTTTGAATCACAGTACCTAGCTCAGCTATGTTTTTCTCGCTCAGATTTTCCCAGTTAATATGACAATAATTGGGGGAGGAGGATTGTGTGACAGGGTATGTATTGTGAATTGAATAAAGTCAAGATACTACAAGGATAAGGGATGCCACAAAGTTTATGTCTGTTTATTCTGAGAAAGAAAATGAGTACAAACTTATTTAAAGGTGTAGAAAAAAACAGGACAGGGATGGTAGCTACCTTTCAATCCCAGAAATTCTCTGAACCTAAATGCATCCTGTACTTTTATCTCATGCAGCTGAAAAGAGTGTCTAGAATGAGCAAACAGAGCTGCAGAGCCCAGAACTCAAATGTTCATTCAATTGTCAAAAAAACAAAAAACAAAAAAACCACAAAACCTAGCAAAGAATAAAGATTGTGTTTAGGCTGGGTGCCAGTGGCACGTTCCTGTAATCCTAGCTATTCAAGAGGCTGAAATCTGGTGATCATGAGCAGAAAAGTCTATGAAACATTTATCTTCAATGAACCACCAAAAAGCCAAAAGCAGTTGGCTCAGGTGGCAGAATGTTAGCCTTGTGAGCAAAACATGCTAAGGGTCCCTGAGTTCAAGCCCCAGGACTGGCATACTGGCATGTGTTTGTGCACGCATGTACACATGCGCGCGCGCGTGCGCACACACACACACACACACACACACACACACAACTGTGTTTGACAAAACCCAGATTAGACAAAATGAGTAAATTGTATGAAGAGTAGACAGGGCTGGGAAGGACTATAGCAAAGCAAATCTTGTTGCCACGCAAAAGGAGAGGAAGTAAGTATAAAATATTAGATCCAAACTGATTCCTTTGCCTTTCCTAATTTCACACACTAGTCAGCTCATAGAAGTCTTGGGATCCTTACTACCTAATGCCTTAAACTCTTCTACTTTATTACAGATCCCTTTGTAGTAATAGTAAGTAAATACTATTTCAGCACCAAAAATCTGTTTTCAGCTTGTCTAAAACAAAAATTAAGATTACAAGGACAGGGAAGTGGTACTGTGGCTCAAGCAGTAGAGCGCTCGCCTTGAGCTGAAGGTTAGCGCCCAAGCCCAGAGTTCAAGCCCCACGACCGCCCAAAAAAAAAAGATTTTAAGGACAGGGCTGAGAATGTGGCTTAGTGGCAGAGTGCTTGCCTAGCATGCATGAAGCTCTGGGTTCCATTCCTCAGTACCACATAAACAGAAAAAGCTAGAAATGGCGCTATGGCTCAATTGGTAGAGTGCTAGCCTTAAGCAAAACCTCAGGGATAATGCCGAGGCCCTTAGTTCCCCAGGACTGGCCAAAAAAAAAAAAAAAGATTAGAAGGACAACAAGCTATATAAGCTTAAAGGCATCACTGAAAACTACAACAAAATCCCAGGTAGGGGATCTGACATCTTATATCCAAAGAGGTTGGAAAGGATATCAGTAGGCATAAGCAAACATAATTAACTTTGTCTTTGACAACCTGGTTTTTTTCCCAACTTCCTATACTCAAATGATTTCTATTAAGACCTCTAATTATAATTCTACTTAGAAATTATAGGTCAAGAAGAATACAGCTTACCAAGATTAACATTGACATATCAGAAATCAGAACTGCTATTAAAAAAAAAGTTATTTCATTTACACCAGGTACCACCTGGTAGCTCATGCCTACAATCCTAGCTAATCAGGAAGCTGAGATCTGAGGACCACAGCTCAAAGCCAGCCCAGGCAGGAAAATCCATGAGATTCTCATTTCCAATTAACCAGCAAAAAGCCAGTTATCAAATGGCAAGATTCTTGGTAGAACTGTGGTTCAAGTGCTAGCCCAGGCCCTTCGTTCAAGCCCTAGGACTGGCATTTAGTACTGAACCTCTTCAGAGGTGCTATAGATACTATATTTAGGAGAAAACGGTACAAGCATAAAACCACTATAGATTAGATATACTTTGCTTAAAGTATGACTCAGAAATATATCTTGCTTATAATATCCACTGTATATAAAATCCATAACTTTAGTCAACCCTAAACAATGTTCTCTAAAAATAATCTATGAAGATTAGAGAGGTGATTCAATTGGTAGAGCACCAGTCCTGAGTGGAAAAAGCTGAGCAAGAGGAAGACCGGAGTTCAAGCTTGAGTACCAGCAGATACCATCATTCTCCCAAAAAAGACTAAACTATTGAATCAGAGGTATGGCTCAAGTGGTAGAACACCAGACATGAGCAGAAAAAGTAGAAGGCCCTGAGTTCAAGCTCTAGTAGCATCAAAAATATAAATGTTTTTAAGGGTCTATCATTTTTAGTTCAAAGATTCTATAAATCATGACAATCAAAAATAGAACTTTATATAATAAATGTATCTTTTTAGACCCTTATCACCAACTTGAATTAAACTATGAAGCTAATCACTATTTCTTTTCACAATTGCTCACAGAGTGCCTCAAAACCGTCATGACAGCGTACCAGTTGTTCAAAGGTTTTACACAGGAAAAATTATCACAAGGCAAATTTCTTGGTACAGGACTGAAAACAAGCTACCAAAAGCATTAGGAAAAGAAGCTCACCACAATTCCATCATTACTTCTCAAAACTGCCAATAATAAGATTTCATACTCTACTTTTATGAGGATAACAATGTCATATAAATGCTAAGTTCTTTTTAACTTCAGAAGAAAATGTAATTCATAATTCTAACATATAGCATACTTATAAGACTCTTTAAGAGGCTTTAAGAATCCCCAGTTCATACCCTTTACACTATTGTAACACATTTAAGCATGGGTAATTAAGTAAGTCAGAAAATTTACACAAGTAATATAGCTATTAGAAGTCAATAGCAATATGTAAGTAATTTTGAAATGAGTGTCTTTGAAAACAATTCTATTTTGGACCACATCTAATCCTAAAATGAGACCAAGACAAAATACATAGACTAAGTTGGCTAATATTGGCTAATTACTTAATGTAATGTTAAATACAGTAAAATAGAAAAATGGTTAGATCCACATGGTTAAGATCAAGTTTTTTAATAAACATTTTATATTTTGATATTGCACATTTTTGAGAAATACTAATTATGTAGAAAAACACTGTTTAAAATAGTATAAATGCCATAAAACAAATGAAACTATGATTTTCTAAAGCTATGAAGCATATTAACATAGCACTGAAGAGAATTCTTATGAACAAAACAAAACAATACATATATATGTATATATATGCATATATATATATATACACACGTGTACCTCCATCCTTCTTCTCCAATTCGTCCCTAATTAGAGGGGAAGTAAGTATCACCTTCAGAGTTAATGTTGGTTCTTTTGTGTTCCGAATTATAATAGATGCCTCATTTACACATTGTTCCACTTGGTATTTTTCTTCTGTCAGTTTCTGAAAGTCAACAAGATTTCAAAAACATACAATTAATTAGATTAAAATCCCTAAAGTCCTTAACTAGTTCTGTACCTTGGGGGAAAGGGGAAATAACATTTCTGTAATCCCAACTTATAAGCAAATCTTTTCTCTACCTCTAAATAAAATAATTACAATGTCAAACACCCATACAATGATGAAACAATATTTAAAACCAATCTTTCCAATATTTAAGAAAAATGTCAATAACACCATTATGCAATGATGCTCTTCAAAGTATTATAGACAACTATGGTAGAATAACAAATAGCTCAGAATACTCTCTATGATAGCTTTTTTGACAAAAGTCAAAAAAGGATGAGTATAAACAAGTAACTTCTTTTCTACACTTCCCTTACAACACATCATTTAGACCAATCAGCCAGATGAATGGAAGAACCATAACCAGTAGCAGCAGCAAACTGCTTAACATTCGCTTTGCCGGCAAAATGCCATAAAAGGTATCTATTGGAGAATAAGTCAAACTCAATTTTTAGTAATGCACACAGATCACCATAAAATACATCAAAAGTAATAGGCAAAGTATGAGTTTTGGACTAATTTTAAATGATTTGGGGTTTGTCATTTTGTTTTCCTTTGAGTAAGAAGTTTTAGAATCACTGTAAGGTACATTAGTCTAAAACTTCAATTAAAGTACTTAGAAAACTGAAGCTTGGGGTTTTTTTTGGTTTGTTTGTTGACAGTTGTGGGGTCTGAACTCTGGGCCTGGGCACTGTCCCTCAGCTCTTCAGTTCAAGGCTAGCGCTTTACCACTTAAGCCACAGCACCACTTTGTTTATGTGGTGCTGAGGAATGGAACCCAGGCCTCATGCATGCTAACTAGGCAAGCAGTCTACCACTGAGCCATCTTCCCGGGCCCTTTAATTTATTTTTTGAAAAGTCATATCAGAGATTGTTATTCCACACAAACACTATTCGAGTAGAGAGGAAAATGTGAAGGCCACACTTAAAATAATTTCCTGAAATATCAGGAACCATTTCTTCATCGAAATTGAAAATGACAAGCCAAGTATCTTCTTTCACTTAGGGAAAGCATACTTTACTAGCAAGAACATGGCCAAGTTCCAACCCCAGTTCTAAAAAAAAAAAACACTTAAGATTTAAGAAAGAATAATAAAAGGGTCCCAAATATTATCAGAAGAGAGTTTTGAAGTCCATTTGGTAAGTACAGGAAAATGTATAAAACAAACAGGAACATTCAACAACTCAAGGTTTGGACCACAAGGCTAACAACTCTGTGACAGGAACCACTATAATTCAATCACATAAAATATATCTAATGCATCTAAAACTGAAAGATGATTACCAGTTCCCATTCACTGTTGAACACTGCCCCTGAAGCTAGCTGGCAGGGCAGGGATGACCTGAGCCCCAGACCCTTCCTTTAGCCCTGAGGAGCTTTTAGCCTTCAGTAGAATTCTCCAGAGAGCATATCAATACTAAACTTTTCTAAGTGCAAAGCCAAAAACATTTAAAGCAAAGAGAAAGACTTTCTATGAACCGAACAAACAAACTGACTCTTCAATTTGAAAAGTAAAGTCTAAAAGTCTAGTAATGTAGGCTCTCATTGACATTTAAATTCTTTCTTGCACCTGGACCAACTCTTCCAAGAACCGGATAATGGATAATGCAGAGACCTCTAGTTTGGAAAAAACGGATTCTGGTCTTAAGGGTGGGGTCCAAGTGACCTGCCTGTCAATTGAGCGGTCCTGACTTTAAACCAGAGAACTACAGAGGAGAAGGGAGGGGAAGGGAGAGGAGGGGTGGGGAGGGGAATAAAGGGGAGGAGAGAGGAGGGAAGTGGAGGGGAGGGGAGGGGAGGCAAGGGAGGGAAGAAAAGAGGGGAGGGGAGAAAGGAAGGGGGAGAAAGGAAGAGAGAGAAAGAAAGAGAGAGAAAGCAAGCAAGAAAGAAACAAAGAAAAAGACTTTCAGTAAGGTATAATTCAAATGTTTAAGATTGTGCCTTAATAGCCATTGTAATCTGGTAAGTATATTTCGAATACTAATCAGCTATTGGCCCACACTAGTAGCATTCTTTCTGTCAGTGCTTACTCACATGACCAATTCTTCCTAATAAATTCATCAAGGCCAATGCCTGATTTTTTTGTTTTTAAATTCTCCTGTTAAGATGCAATTAAACCATACTCACCTGAATCTGTACAGGAAGATTATCTCTCACTGTAGTTAGCAGGGTCTCTGTGGGTTTGTCCTTGCACATTAAAACCAGCTCCAAGTCCATATCATCCTTAATCAGTAAGCCTTTTGCAACCAGTCCAATCCTCATTACCCCACACAACGTCCGACCTCGCTGATCCCTAAACATAAAGCTCTGTTATGCACTTTTACAACCATTTCCCAAAATATAACTCAGTCATCTCTTGGCTTCCTGGAAGTCCATACAAACTCATATGGGATTATGTCAATTGACATTCAAAACTCTACACACCAGTCAGAGGTTGGTGGCTTAAGCCTGTAATCCTAGCTACTCCGGAGGCTGAGATCTACAGATTTCAGTTCAAAGCCAGCCCCAGGCTAGAGAATCTTATCTCCATTTAATCACCAATTAAGCCATCAGTAGAACTGTACTTAAGTACTTAAACACAGCTAAGGGACAGCACCCCATAGAATTCAGGCCCAATGACCAGCACAAACAAACATATATAAACACACACACACACACACACACACACACACATATACACACATATAAACACACGCACACACACATATACACACATATGTACACACACACACACACACAAACACACACTCATTTCAGATCCCAGAGTTAGGACAAATATAGCATCTACCTTCCCAAAGGATTCAATAGCTATCCCTCAGCTCTTCAGCTCAAGGCTAGCGCTCTACCACTTGAGCCACAGCATCACTTCTGGCTTTTTTCTTATGTGGTGCTGAGGAATCGAACCCAGGGCCTCTGGCATACAAGGCGAGCGCTCTACCACTGAGGCACCTTCCCAGCCCCTGCTTAAGAAATCTAAAATATACTATATTCCCTTAAATTTTTCCAAATTGTTTTTTGGGTTTTTTTGGCAGACCTTCGTGCCTTATGCCCATAATCCTAGCTACTCAGGAAGCGATATCTAATTTTATGATTTGAAGCCAGCCCAGGCAGGAAAGTCTATGAGCCTCTTATCTCCAATTAGCCACCGAAAAGCCAGAAGTGGAGCTGTGGCTCAAGTGGTAGAGTGCCCGCCTAGAGCTAAAAAGCTCAGGGCCAGTACCCTAGCCATAAATTCAAGTCCCAGTATTGGTACACTAAGAAAACTGTTTAAACCTCTTAATTTTTTTAGTAGTAATTAAAGAATGTTTGAGAAACATCAATACCACGGTATACCGAAAAAAAGTATCAGGGTAGAAATGCAAACCATCTAAATTCAGGATGTGTCTGCTGGTATCTACAATAGTAAAATGGGCACTGGTTTTATGAGCTAAACTCCTCCCCTTAGCTGTATCATTGTAGAAATCCACAAAAACTTATGAAAAAAACTGAGAAATGTGGTAAGTACAGAGCTGAGGAAAGAAAGAACACGGAAATCTGTCAGCAACTATATGCCAAATCTAAGAGTAGCTAAGAGCAAACAAAGAATATCAAATCATGAATATTACTTTAGAAAATTTTTTTTATCTATCTTGGGCTTTAGTATGAAAAACTCCATATTGGTTCATTTTCTTTAATCAAAAAAAATAATATTCATTAAGCTTATTAGAGTCATTCAACAAGAAACCAAGTTTGAATATGGAAAATATAAAAAAAATATACAGTCTCTGCTGCTCCCAAGTTGTACACTATGGCTAAGTAACAAAAGCATTAACAAATTAGGTACCATGCTTAAAAGGGGAAAAGAAAGCAACATATGGGAAGGAACTGCATCTGGAAGATAAAGAATACAAACCTTAAGAAAATAACTGCATTCCGCGGGACTGGGAAGGTGGCTCAGTGGTAGAGTGCTTGCCTTGCATACCTGAGGCCCTGGGTTCGATTCCTCAGCACCACATAAGCAAAGAGAAAAAAAGCCGGAAGTGGCACTGTGGCTCAAGTGGTAGAGCGCTAGCCTTGAGCTGAAGAGCTGAGGGACAGCACCCAGGCCCAGAGTTCAGGCCCCATGACTGGACCAAAAAAAAGAAAAAGAAAAGAAAATAACTGCATTCCAATTCACAGAGGGTAAAGTGGCAAAGCCCAGATTCAAACCAAGGATGGCTTGATCACACCTTCATATTACATGGTTGCTTCTCAAGTTCAAAAAGGGAGAGGTTAAAATTAAAGAGGTCAAAGCCAGGTGCCTATGGATCACACCTATAACCCTAGCTACTCAGGAGGCTGAAATCTGAGGATTGAAGTTCATAGCCAGCCCAGGCAGGAAAGGCCATGAAACACTTATCTCCAATTAACCACCAGAAAACCGGGAATGGCTCTGTGGCTCAAGTGGTAGAGCGCTAGCCTTGAGCTGAAGAGCTGAGGGACAGCCCTCAGGCCCAGAGTTCAAGCCCCATGACCAACAAAAAATTAATTATTAGTTAATTAATTAAAGAGGTCAAGCAAAGCAATCTGAGAGTTTGACTTAGATAGTCTTGAGTTAGATAGATGGAAGAAAGATCATTCCAGATAGAAGCAAAGATGAGCAGTAGGGCAAGATAGTGGAGTTGAGAATGAAATGAAGAAGGGAAAAAAATTGTGGCAGTGGGGGCTAGAAAGGTGGCTCAGTGGTAGAGTGCTTGCCTTGCATGCATGAGGCCTCTGGGTTCGATTCCTCAGCACCACATAAGCAGAAAAAGCCAGAAGTGGCACTGTGGCTCAAGTGACAGAGTGTTAGCCGTCAGCTGAAGAGCTGAGGGACAGTGTCCAGGCCCAGAGTTCAGGCCCCATAACAGACAAAAATAAATAAATAAATAATTGTGGCAGTGGAAATTAGACAGGAAGTTATAAATAACTCAGCTACTGATTCACTCCCTATATACCTTATAGATACAATATATATTAAATCAATGAAAAACTATAAAGGTGGAACAAGTATAGAAGGAAATATGTGGTCTTTTGTGTTGGTTTTGTTTTGTCTTCTAATTCTGTAGCTTGAACTCAGGGCCTTAAGCTTGTTAGACAAGTGCTCCCCTGCTCCCCCAAGTCCTTTTGCTTTTTTTTACTTTATTTTTCAGGTAGTGTCTCTGCCAAGTCCGGCTTCAGACCTCAATCTTCCTACTTCTGCCTTCAAAGCAGCTGAAACCAAAAGTGTACACTGCCACATACAGCTATTTTTGAGACAAGGTCTTGCTAACTTTTTTCAGGGGCTGACCTTAAACCATGCTCTCCTAACTCACTTCCCAGAGTAGATGGAATTACAGGTGTGCACCTGAGCCAAAAGTAAATGTTGGAAAACAAGTGACCCAAGTGTAGGTAGATAGTCAGCTGTGATTGTTACTTATGTACTCCTGTCATCTCATTCTCTCATTAATCTAATAATGGTTTATACATTCCTCCTCCAAAATAACTGTCAAGCCTTGCCTTCACACTAGTCTAAGTTCTTATTACTTCTCAAGCAGATTACCTGAATAATTCCCTCCTCAAAGACCTTACTGGAATAAGCTCCCAAAGGTATGACTTGGATGACACTCCACCTATTACTTTCCTTGACATTCCACTCAACACATGGACACTCAATATTGGAAGGCAATTTAGAGGGCAGCATGATTCCCTCTGAATCCTGGCTCTGTCACTTTGCTGACAATGAACAAAGTACATATACTTGACTCTTTTGAGCTTACATCTTCATTTATAAAACAAAATAATTTGTGCCAAGTACCAGTAGCTCACGCCTGTAATCCTAGCTACTCAGGAGGCTAAGGATCATGGTTCAAAGCCAGCCAGAGCAGTAAAGTCTGTGAGACCCTCAACTCCAATTAACAACCAGAAAATCAGAAGTGGTGCTGTAGCTCAAGTGGCAGAGCGCTAGCCTTGAGCTGAAGAGCTGCAGGACAGCGACCAGGCCCAGAGTTCAAGCCCCACAACTGACCCAAAAAAATAATAACATTATTATTATTCTTTTCTCATACAGTGATACTGAGAATACAATGTAATTTATTTAATAAACTGCCAGAGCTCAGCATAGTACAATAGTTCAATAAATAGCTTTTATTTCTTAAACAGTCCCTAGACTTTTCTCATACCTAAGCTTTGAGCTTTGTTGAGATTTTAGTTCTTCTTTCACTACTTCCCAAAACCTGACCTCATCTTCTGCACCTATTTCAAATGCTACTTCCCTGGTAAAGCATTTTCTAATTTCTAGATCTATATATCAACTCAGCCTGTTCTAAGCTTTCAGAATTTACCCACCAGAAACTGAAGCACAATCTCTTCATCCAGGTAAGCAAAAGCCTATCTCTAGAAGCATTTTATCAAAGTATGCCAATTTTAAGAAAAAAATATTAGAAGGTGTATTTTGTTTTATTTTTGGTGCCTGTCCTGGGTTTGAATTCAGGGACTGGGCACTGTTCCTGAGTTTTTGTGCTAATGGCAAGTACTCTACCACTTTGAGCCACAGACACATTTCTGGCCATTTCAGAGATAAGACTCTCATGGACTTTCTTCCCCAAGGTTGACTTTGAACCAGGATCCTCAAATCTCAGCTTCGTGAGTAGCTAGGATTATAGGCATGAGCCACTGATACCTAGCTAGAAGGTATATTTTTTTTAAACCCAAACTAATGAAATAATGAAGGAGAAACTATGCTTTGAAATTATAAAAATGCCAAATTTAGCCAGGCTCCAGAGGTACACAACAGAAATCCTGGCTACTCAGGAGGCTAAGATTTGAGGATGGAGGTTTAAAGCCAGCAAAAAGCCAAAAAATGGAGGTGTGGTTCAAGTGGTAGAAAGCCAGCATCTGGCAAAAAGGCTAAGAGCTAGAGGGCCTGAGTTCAAGCTCCCATACAGCCAAAAATAAAAAGAACAAATTTACACATGTATGACTGTGTATATATATGCATACATGGACTACAATTTTTTTTAAAATTGGAAAAAACAACAAACACAGATGAAAGTAAAATCTGAATCTGGAGAAGTGGTACAAGAACATATACAGAGCCAGGTATCAAAGAGTATTACAAATACAATCACTTAATAATGGTACTAATTAACATGAAGTCAAATTAGACAATCTCATTTTTCAACTATCACATATAAGAAAAATCAAATCCCAAGACTCTACAAACTGATGATAGATACACTGCGCCCACTAACTATATGATGTACAACTACTTATAAACAGTGAACAAAGTAAAGCAATTATGCTCTTCAACAATAAACTAACATTTATCATCTTTCAACTAAAAAGTAAATAACATACCCGCTTTGAGTAAGATTTACCAATGACTTCCCATGAATCTTTATCTACTTATTATCTTAACATAGAATTGAAAGCTGGAAAAATTCTGAAATCCATCTTCCATTTAGAAAAGTTTTATAGAAAGCATGTTTCTAAACCTATTAATACAGTATAATCAAATAAACTTTATCTTTCCAAATAAGTTATATATTAATCCAATTATAGTGACACTGCTCAAAGCAGTAACTTTTTTTTTCGGGGGTGAGGGATGGGGGGGTGTCCGTCATGGGGCTTGAACTCTGGGCTGGGCACTGTCCCTGAGCTCTTCAGCCCAGGGCAAGTACTCTACCACTTGAGCCACAGTGCCAATTCTAATTTTCTGGTGATTAACTGGAGATAAGAATCTCACAGGGTCTGGGAAGGTGGCTCAGTGGTAGAGCGCTTGCCTTGAATGCATGAGGCCCTGGGTTCGATTGCTAAGCACCACATAAGCAAAAAAGAAAAAAGCCGGAAATGGCGCTGTGGCTCAAGTGATAGAGTGCTAGCCTTGAGCTGAAGAGCTGAGGGACAGCGCAGGCCCAGAGTTCAGGCCCCACGACTAGACCCCCCCCCAAAAAAAGGAGTCTCACGGACTTTCCTGGTAGGGCTGGCTTTGAACTGAACCATGATCCTCAGATCTCAGCCTCCTGAGTAGCTAGGATTACAGGCGTGAGCCACCAGTGCCAGGCTCAAAGCAGTAACTTTAAGCTTAGTATACCATCATCTCACGATGGGACTGCTGTCACCATTGCCACTATTGCTACAATATTTACAACACTGCACTGTGACCCTTGCAGGGGCTGGTTCCCATTAGAACTGCTTTCATTCCACAAATACAAAATGAACATATATGACATGTAAGACACAATGCTATAACCTTCTTCTAACACTAGATTTTTATATGTCTAATACAAACAGTATTTTAGAAATTTTCCCTATTTCAGAATTTAAAACAGTGAACCAACATAGCAAAAAGATGGCATCTCATAACCTTCAAATGTAAAGGGTTTTAAGGGACTTGCTACTCTCTGAAAAGGAAACATAATCTTCTGCTCTAATCATTACTCCTTCTTGCTTTCTTTCACATTGTAGTAACAGCAGGGCCACAGTCCAGCCCACTGGAGAGAGTGGCCTGTCAAGAGTGGTCAAGAGATGTCAAGAAGTAGTTGGACAGCGGGCAGCTTGGAGGAAGGGGCATGAGCTGGGGTTGAAACTGTTAGACCTGTTTGAGTGGGGAAGGGGTACAGCCTTGAGCTTTTCTGTCTACCGCAGCAAAGCATCACAAAGGCCAATCCACACTCACTTGGAATAGTTTTCTACAGCCTCATCTTTCTTCACTTCTGTCTCGCCCTCTGTTTTTGTGCCTTTATTTGTTTCATCCAGCCAATCTGAGACATGTTTAAGCGCACATTCAACAGTAGACACCATATTCTGAACAGCTTCAAGTTCCTCTGGAGATGGATAAATTGTTGAATGTTTCACCATGACATGGCGATCATCATTGGCAAAAGATCGAATAGATCTCTGTCAGAAGGAAAAAGAAAACAATTACTCAACAAAAGTAATGTTACCTGAAAAGGAAGAACTGTCAATCATTATGAAACAGTTAATGTTCAGATGAGAAAAAATTACTCATGAAAGAGCAAACTCTATTTTGTTGATCTCCACACAACAGAAAATTAGAAGGAATCACCTAGGTCACTCTTTGCATTGTCCATACATTATCTTTCAGTTGAACCTTTGCCTCCTGACCATTCCTACAAAAGAAAGTCACCCATATCACATAACATCTGTAAGAAATATACTTTCAGCCTCAAGAGAATTTGAAGAAATATGTAATGGTCACGTTCCCTTCCAAATTGCTAAAGACTCAAATAATTGAGACGAGGTAATATAATAGTAATATAAAATACAAAGTTACATATAGAGTATTGAAATACTATTTAATATTTGACATTCAACCTTTGGCGCATGGTTTTAATTTTTAAAATAAATTAGCAAGACATTCCAAATTCCAGAAGGGGGGAAATATAAACAGCAATGCAAACCCATTATTTTTTTAGTTTTTATTTTTTGTCAGTCATGGGGCTATTGGAGAGAAGAGTCTCACAGCCTTTCCTTACCAGAACCATGATCCTCAGATCTCAGTCTTCTGAGAAGCTAGGATTACAGGCAGGAGCCCCCGGCACCCGGCAGTAAACTAATTTTTTTTTTTTTTTTGCCGGTCATGGGGCCTGAACTCTGGGCCTGGTGCTGTCCCTCAGATCATCAGAGCTCAAGGCTAGGGCTCTACCACTGGAGCCACAGCGCCACTTCCATGTAAACTAATTTTTTAAGGTTACATATATACTATATTCTCAATCAAAATCTTTAATTTAATTAAACCTAAACTTTTTTTTGTTAAGGGGCTGGGATGAAACTCAAGAGTCTCACACATGCTGGAAAAGTATTTTATCACCCATCAATATTCCAAGCCAAATTAAAACCATTTCAAAGCTTACCTAAAATAAAATCAACAAAGAAATGGTAGACTAGAACCATTACAATTAAAAAAAGAAAAAAGCCAGATGTTGGTGGTTCATGCTTATAATCCCAGCTACTCAGGAGGCTGGCATCTGAGGATCTCAGTTCAAAGCCAGCCAGGGCAGGAAAAGTCCACAAGACTCTCATCTTCAATTGACCTTCAAAATGCCAGAAGCAGGGGCTGGGAAAGTGGCTCAGTGGTAGAGTGCTTGCATGAGGCCCTGGGTTCGATTCCTCAGCACCACATAAGCAGAAAAAGCCGGAAGTGGTGCTATGGCTCAAAGTGGAGTGCTAGCCTTGAGCTGAAGAGCTGAGGGACAGTGCCCAGGCCCAGAGTTCAGGCCCCATGACCGACAAAAAA